TTGTGTATTAGATGTGTTTTATATATATATATCAAGAAAGTTATGGTGGGAAAAAATTGTGATTGAAAACCCCTTCCACCTGAAGTCAATGGATAGTCAATATATTGTTAAATACAGATCTGCACACCAGTCAAGCCATAAGACTTGCTTTTCTCACAGAAATCTCAAATGTGCAGTGATGTTACTACTGCAAGACATTCTGGGTGGGCATATGCAAATTAGTTCAACAAAGAACTGCGGGAAAAGCAAGTCTTATGGCTTGACTGGTGTGCATAGTTGTGTTTAACAATGTATTGAATATATATATATATATATATATATATATATAATTATTTTTTTTGCTGTGCATATGATTACAATGACAATGATGACAACAGCAAGCAGTTCAGTAATAAACAAGTACATGGCAAGTGCTAAAAGTGTTAAATTTTAAGATTAAAGATAACAAGAGTGACAAGCTATGCAGTAATTTTAATAAGAAGTGGGTCAACAGAAATGGATGGCTGTGGGAGCAGCAGGCCCCAGCGCAATGGCCATCTTAAGCAGTAGGCCTCACCCTCTTAAGTTGCTGTGAATCACAATGCTGCTTGTAGTAGTAAGATATAAGAGATTACCAGTGGGGACCAGTTCAATGGTGGGGAACATGGCTCAGAACAGATCATTTCCAGACCTGGGCAGAGGATCGGCTGCCTCCACTGCCTTGTGTACTTCTGCAGGCCATTGAGAAACCTTTCATGAGCTATGCCCACCGGATTTGAGCATAATCAGGCCAATCACTTGCCAGGGTGCTCCTTTGATCAAAATAAGCAAGTTCATGCCAAAAATATAATGCTGCTGTCCAGGCTTAGGCTTAGTGAAAGCTCCAGCAACATGCTACCATCTCAGTCAGCCCCCCCTCCCCCCTCCGAGAAGTTATGCTTTTGACAAGGCTCTGATTTGAAAGTGCCATCTATTGAGTATTTCCTCTATATTAGTGAAGCATATTAAATTCAGTTTTTGCCTAAACACGTCTGTAATTTCCAGATCGTGTCTTTATGTTTTGAGAAGCTTCTCTTCTACTGCATTTTTATTATTCTCCATAGCAGGACAGATGCAAAAAGGGCGTCTCATTTCTTATGAGTTTGTCTTGTATTAGCCTTGACAAGTAAATATTGATCATGAAATCTTGTTCCTTTTTAGGTCTGGTAATCAGGACCATAATTCCTACCGGGCACTATAATTTCCCAGGATATTTCCTATATTTAAATACCATAGTGATGATGACCAGCTGCCTTTGGGATACAATAACTTGTCCAAACAGATATTATGGTGATATTGATTACTTGTTTGGATGTTTGATAAGGTTTATTGGATTTGTGCAGCTCAATAACTTTTTTTTTTTTTTTACTACTAGCTGTATTTGAATGCTCCTACTATATATACTGCTTGGGTATTACCCATAATAATATATTGTCATGTTTGGACATGAATAAGGAAAATTGTATCATACTTACCATAATTATTTCCCCTAATCATTATACATGGAAGCATTACATTCCCACCCATTTACTATGACAATTGGGAAGCTAGTTACACAGACTGCCCAATGGAGAAGGGGTGGATTTATTTATAACAATTTAAGATTTCCATTTCCTGTCCTTTCTGATATGAGGGGAGGAGCTAACCTATGAGTAAATGATGCCATGAAAAATGATCAGGAAAAGAAAATTACGGTAAGCATGAAACAATTTTCCTCTTGAATAGTAGGGGAGCTAGTTTTTTTTTCCATTTATATGCTATACTCATTTTAGCAGCCAAGAGAAGATGGATTATAACTGTAAGATATGGCAACTCCACTTACTCAGGAAACACAGGTAAAAAAGATAAATTTGTGGCTCAAGAGTCAGGTTTATTCCCAAAGCTGTGGAAATTACCCCTTGAATTTGCCTCCAATAATAATCCAAACATGGGCATGCCCAAAAGACATGCAGCAGGGAGCCTTCATCACAATCACATCTCCAACATTTTGGGGAAAGGTCCGCATATATGTGAGATAGCATAGAAGGCACCAAGTGGATATCATGGCAGAGAACCTGACTGGGATTCTGGAGCTGTAAGTTCAAACCCAGCCAGGTATCTTAAAGGGGCGGCAACACCTTGCTGTCTGCAGGGCTCAGGCTGTACCGTGACAGAGCCCCCCCTCCTCCCCACAAGGATAAACTTCCGGGGGCGAACAGACAGCTGCAGAAAGGAGCAATCTCGGGGGGCAAACAGACAGCTGCAGAAAACCAACAACAAAGGAAGCACGTTTCTTTTCAGGTAGCTTTCTTCAGTCTGCTAATAATGAATAAATCAGCGTCGTCTTTTCTTCTTCTTTTTATCTCTGGTAAGTATAGCTGATTCGAAATAACTCAAGGTCTTCTCTTCTGATGATAGAGAAAGGGTGAGAACTTGTCAGATCAGCGGACAGTTTGGAATTGGTAGCGTTACAGTAAACACTTTTAGCTTTTTTCTGTAGGATCGGTTCATTTGTCTTATTTATGAGACCAGCTTTGATAGTGAACGGTTCTGTAGACTTTGGTGCTTTTGAACTACTGGACTGTTCGTTGTAAAGGTGATCCAGTTTAGGCTCAAACAAGGACGCCATGTCTCTATAGGCATCCGAATCATCAGGATCCGAGAGTGTTGGAACATTTTGCCGGTTATGATTCTTCGAGAAGGAAGTGGAGGCAAGGAGGCGAGAAGGAGATGCAGCTCTGGCCTTAAGAGCCTGTTCAAAGGCATTTAGATCTCTGCGGACCATGGTTCCATTGGAGGCAATTACACAGCCTGGAGACAGATCCTCTCTGTTGGAGCAGGAAATGTTAGGGGAGACAGAGGCTGGGGATTGGAAGGTAACCACAGCAGCCTCCTTTTGAGGCTCTGGAACAGGAGCAGGGTTAGCCAGAGCTGTGATGGTGCCATTGGTCTGGTTAGGTGGTCTTTTCGGTCCAGTAGCATGCAGAGTTGAACAAAAAAAGGCCATGGAGGACTTGCTGGATGGTTATACAGAGCCTCCACATGGCTATGTTTAGGGCGAGGAGGACGTATCGGGCAATAGCTGATGAAGTGGCCTCCCTTGCCACAATAGAAGCAAAGGCCTTCAACTCTCCTTCTGGCCTTTTCATTTATTGTAAGCATGGTATTTAGTGCTCCAATTTGCATGGGTTCCTTTATATCCATGGTAGGGATAGGGGTATAGGTCTCACCAGCAGGTTTGGAGCATTGATCAGGCAGAGAGTTCGTCTCAAATCGCTCCTGCCTTCTTTCTCTGAACCCACGATCCAGCTGGGTGGCTAGCACCATTAATTCTTCCAGGGAGGTTGGAACTCCCACTCATGCCAGTTCATCCTTAAGGGGTTCGGTTAAACCAAGGCGGAATTGGTCCACTAGGGCGCTTTCATTGAGTCCAGTGTCTGATGAGAAACCACGGAACTCTGTGATGTAATTTTCCACAGGACGGTTTCCTTGTTTAAGGGAACGGAGAGAAGTCCTGGCTGTGGAGGCACGGAAGGGGTCCTCATACAAGGAGGCCAAGGCTGTAGAAAAGGATTCCCAGGTGTCCAGTACAGGGCTTTTGGCATACAGCTGTTGATGAGCCCAAGTCTTGGGTTGCCCGGATAACAGGGTGATGACAGTTCTTACTTTAACAAAATCTGTGGCATAGGTACGGGGTTTAGGTACAAACAGGATTTCAAAGTCTGTGATAAAGGAGCGGAAGGAAGCCCTGCGACCAGTGAATCTTTCAGGCAATGCAATATCAAGTTCAGGAACATGGTGTGTTCCCCTTTAAAACAGCATAGCCATGCTGCAATTCACTTACGGTTTGAGACAGGAGGGTCACTTGCTGTGTGAGGATACTCAGGACATTCAACATCTCTGCGGGCTCCATGGTAAACATCTGGTCACTATGTAACAGTTTAACAGGAGTTGGAGCCCAGTTGCATGATATGGCATAGGGAGGAGGCAAAAACCAGAATCGCAGTACAGATTAAGGGGAAATCCAAAGGCAGGGTCAGACGAGAAGCAGAAGTCAGGGCTGCAGCAGAGTAACGTAGTCGGTAAAGCAGGCAGAGATCAGAGTCCAGGAAATCAGTCAGTAGCGAAGCAAAGATCCATCAGGAAACACCAAACAGGCAAAATGACCAGATCCTAGGTTTCAGGCAGGGCTGGCTTTTACAGCCTGCTAATTAGATGCAGCTGACCCTAACTGGAAAAGGGCAGCAGGTGGGTCAGCACTGCTTAATCCAGGCAAGGGGTCAGGAAGCAGAATAATGCAGACAGATACTAAAGCCCCCTGGTGGATATCACGGCAGAGAACCTGACTGGGATGCTGGAGCTGTAAGTTCAAAAGGGGCGGCAACGCCTTGCTGTCTGCAGGGCTCAGGCTGTGCCATGACAATGACCTTGATAGATGGCAATATGTTTATTTGGTTCCCTTGGGCATCTCTAATGTCCACCATAACCTGTCTAGGTTATGTGGAAGCATGCATGTTTCATCCATTTTAACCCAGATAGGTTTATTAGGTCTTGATACCATTTCCAAACTAGGTGTTAGCAATGATGCCTTATAATACTTAATTATATTAGGAATCCCCAACCCCCCTTTATCGAATGGAAGCCATAACAATTTAATCTCTAGCCTTGGTGGCTTCTTCTTCCAAATATAAGCATTAACAAGTCTTTGAAAGTGTTTTATTATTGTAGTGGGCACAGCAATAGGGATGATGTGAAAAAGGTACAAGATATGGGGCAGTACCATCATTTTAATGGTGTGGACACGACCCAACCACGATACCTCCACGTCCCCCCATTTAGCCAATTGACCCCCCCAGCTTAAATAATAGGGCTACATCGTTTTCTTTAAGAGAGGTTGCGATTTTGTTAGTTTTGTGCCTATATAATTAAGAGATACATTACGCCAATAATATGGGTAGGTATGTGTGAAATTTTGTAAAGCCCTCTCTGAAATTCCTATGTGAAGTGCTTTGAGTTTTCTTTGTATTATTTTTGTAGTACGAGACTTCACTATACTGAAAGTGTGGTAATAGCCAGGATTGAAATATCAGGATTGGTCAGAAATAGTAGCACATCGTCTGCAAAAAGCGCTAATTTTTGCTCTCCACACGGGGTCTGTAAGCCACTAATATTAGGAGTTTGTTTGATATGTCTAACTAAATATTCTAAACTGAGAATGAAAATAATCGACGAGAGCGGGCAGCCTTGTCTTGTACCATTAGAGATGTTAAATGCCCGAGACAGAAAGCTGGTATTACATTTTTTGGCATAAGGCTTGGTATAAGGAGCTAGAATGGTCTTTAAGAATTTAGAGGAAAAGCCCATTTTAAATATTCAAGAGGTATTAGAGAGAGTTGATGTAACCTCTCAGTATGAAAAAATGGCATATCGGTTAAGGGGTAAAGATAAAAATTATGATAAAGATTGGTGTGGGTGGCAAAGAATCAAAGATAAAAATATGGCACTTTAATGCACCACCTTGTGTTTGTGATTTAATACAAAATCATCTTACAATTTATTCTCAAATTTAAATTGAATACTAATACTCAAACCTATATTAGAATATTAAAGATGATTATTAATTAATAAATTGGTATTAAAGTAGAGGCGTATATTAGCATATGGAGGATTTATACTAATACACTGGTTATGCATTTAGACTATAAAACTGTTGTTTTTTGTTTTCTTTTCCTCCCTTTTTTTTTTTTCTTCATTCCAGTTCTGAGAGTTTATGAGCCTGACTTTCAAAGGATAAATAATTAGATACCAGTTGAATAGTTACGGACCAACTATCTACGAATACCTAATGTTTATGGAAATTTATGAGCAGTTACAACAATATAACTGGTGAAAAGCATAGAGTATAAAGTTATTATTGCTTAACCCCTTAAGGACACATGACGGAAATATTCTGTCATGATTCCCTTTTATTTCTGAAGTTGTGTCCTTAAGGGGTTACAACAAGTATGTTGATAATTTTATGGGCGATTCTTTTATTTGTTATAAATTATAGCAATGAAATGCCTACCAGGTGGAATTGTAAATGAACATGTTAGATTTTGAATGGTTATTATGCTGTAATGTAACTTGTTCATGTATGAGTCTCGTGAATTGGAATGTTAATGTTATTGTCATTGTTAATACTTTGCCTTGTATTTGTACTTGTATATGAAAAAAGAATAAAAAGATAAATACTGAAACATTTTTTCTTAATACATGTTTTAGCAGTAAGTATCCTTGCAGACATGGCCTGGTATAGACATTTACCTTTAGTCAAGTAATTTTATAACATGACAGGAGGCTTCATATTTGCTTAAGTCTCTATTTACTAGAACTTCACAGCAGCACATTAACACAGAGAAAAACAACCAATCAGGAAAAATGTAGGTACTATAAAACTCCTCTCCCCACACATCACTTCCTCTTTTTTTGCTGCCCCACATCAGTACAGGTCAGAGTACCACCGCCTCCTGTTTTTAGTTGGTGGCTGTGAATGTTATGTTATGCCTACTTTAATTGTATATTGATTTTAAGGGATTTTTTTTACTTTCCTCTCCCCTGTTTATTCCATTACTTCTACCTGTTTTTTTCCTACCTAAGTTTCCCTTAGGCTTGTCTAGCCTTTCTCTGGCTGACTTGATCTACACTTGCAAACCCTTTATACTTTGCAGCAAGGAGCTATAACTGTCTTTGAGATATTCTGTCTGTCTGCTTTGCACTATTCTGTCATTAAGTGTTCTTGCATAGCAAGACCACTTAATGTTATCTCACATATATATTATTATTCTTATTCTTATTAAGTGTTCTTGCATAGCAAGACCACTTAATATTATCTCACATATATATTATTAAGTGTTCTTGCATAGCAAGACCACTTATTGTTATCTCACATATATATTATTATTCTTATTATAGCCAAATTTGCCACCCTAACTCCTCCCACAGTTTTTACACTACATAGACAAAAATTTACCAAAACGTGCAGATTGTTCCCCATCGGATTGCTATTACTTTGTGGAACGTTTCGCCGAATGGTTCACGGAATATCGTCGTTCTTGTGGCGCAATTTGTCCCATAGGAATGAATGGCAAAGCTAGAGTGGGAGCTGGCAAAAGCTGAAAAATCAGGACATGATTTCTAAACTGCCACCACTCCCTCATTTCCAAGCCCACCTACACAAATCCTATATCAAATGTTCAGCTGTCCCTGCTGTCACTAAAAATGTCCACGGCTAAGCCATAGTCCTGATAGTTTTCACAATATGATCATTTGTTTGCAACTCACGCTGTCCATTGACATTCATTGAAACTCCACTCTACAAAGCTCAAATTTGAAGTGCAATTTCTAAACTGCGACTGTGCCTTCATTCCTAATATTTCAGAGACATACTATACATCAAAATGTAGGCCTGGGTCTTGTGATTCTCACAATATAAAGCACTTTGCTGTAGGATGTATAGTTTTTAAAATACGACTATTTGAAGATGGCAACTGCCAAAATACTCTGACCTGTGCCAGGCTGGAGCAGCAAGTGATGTCATAGACAGGGCCTTTTGTACACCTGCTAATGTTTTTATAAATGTATGTTTTAATGTAACTGTGAAGCACTTTGGGCAACAACGTTGCAATTAAATGTGCTATATAAATAAATAATAACAGTTACTCCGCCCACTCCAGTTGTAGACTACTGGTGGAGGCAAGAACACTTCACACAATTTCCCCAGAAATTGTAGCTTTTCTAGTTATTAAGTGTTCTTGCATAGCAAGACCACTTATTGTTATCTCACATATATATTATTATTCTTATTATAGCCAAATTTGCCACCCTAACTCCTCCCACAGTTTTTACACTACATAGACAAAAATTTACCAAAACGTGCAGATTGTTCCCGATCGGATTGCTATTACTTTGTGGAACGTTTCGCCGAATGGTTCACGGAATATCGTCGTTCTTGTGGCGACATTTGTC